AAAATACAACAAAGAATATCGTTTACATGTAGCACGTCAATTCTGTATGTTATGTAAGACTCACTCGCTCTCGCTCTCTCTCTTTGCGTGTGTGAGAAAGCGATGAAGAGTCGTGCTCCTTTACACTAGAGTTTACGGTGCGTCAAATACAGGTGCGCTGCGCATCCATTGAGATGAACTGAAAAGCAGCACAGATTGCTTGACGGAGAGTGAAACTCTGAAGCGCTCAGTCAGTGTTCTGTGAGTGAAAATATATCTGTGCTAAACATACTCAGCCTCCAACTCACACACTGGCGAGTAAAATCTAAGAATTGATTAGCCATTGGCTAATATTAGACATCATTTAGTCGCCCAGAGTGAAGATTTAGTCGCATATGCGAGTAATTTACTCGCAATGTAGAGGGTTGCAAAACAGCTAGTTTTGCTGCTTGATATTGCAAATTGTTATTTGTCCTGTTATCATTTGTTTCTTTCCAAAATAAACAAGCTTTATGCATTTTGTTTGTTCTTTGTGTCATGTATGACTATTGTGCATCTAGCATAGTATATAATATGGTAAATGTGCAATCATAATTATGAAAAAAATAACAGCACATTTTTAGCAATTTTCTGGAAATGAACACCACAAAGTCAGTCATTTTGATCGCAAAAATCACGAAGAAAAAAAAGTTAAATCCTGGAGGGACTGGCTATAGAGAGGTGACTTCATTTGGCTCGACAGAAACGAGCTGTAGAGATTTAAGTAAAATTCATAATGATATTGTTTTCAGATACACAGCAATGGTTCGTAGTTTATAGTAACATGTATTTATGAACTTATAAATACCATTCCGAACACTGCGATTTCAGTGTACTTGAGTTATATTTAGCATTATATCTATTCCATGCATACAGAAAATGTGCATACTACACATACTGAATACTGCAGAAATAGTAAGATTGCTTGGTCCTCCTATTAGGCAGCATGCATGCATTCAGAAGAGAAAGATAATGCAGGAAGTATCTGTTGAATGAAGACTGGCTGAGTTTAGCGGTAGTTCATGCAGATCTTCATGTTTAATAGAGCCAAAGCCTGCTGGGATATTTGGGCTTGGCACTGATTATGGGAAGGTCAACGCAGTCACCGTTCCTGATCGTTACCGTGTCCCCCGACTGTACTGATAACATCTGTGACGTTGTGTGTTTGGTAGAAGGCAGCATCGGTGTTTGTCTGGTCATGTGATCACAACATGTCTGTCCACACATGAGCACCAAATAAAACCTCCTCAAAGGGGTCATATGATGCTTTTTTAAAGATCATTATTTTGTGTATTTGGTGTAACAGAATATGTTGACATGCTTTAATGTTCAAAAAACACATTATTTTTCAAATACTGTACATTATTGTAGGTCCTCTATGCCCCGGTCATAGCAAAGTCAGAATTACCTCCTCTCCTAGGTTCACGAAACGGTCATCCATAAAATGCATTGCTGTTCTGTTGTAAGTAATCTTAAAGATTCCTAAATGCATCTACTTTCGGAAGGCCAAATAAAGTGCTTTTGCTTTCGCCTAGAAACACACAGCGTCTCCCTGACATGCTGCTTCAACACTAACTGCGGTTACTGAAACCACGCCTTCTTTCTTTGCGTGCACATTTGGGCGCATTATGCAAATATTTCCACATAGTGAGGTAGATATGTGGGAGTGTTAGAACGAGCCGTTTTAGGGGGGCGTGGCAGAGTCTTAACTTTGATAAAGAATATCTCTTTGGTTTTGAGACTTTAGTCTTTGCAACTTCAGGGATCTTATCTATGCACAATCAGCTTGTAACACTCCAAAGAGAAAGGAAAACTTGAAATCGCATCATATGACCCCTTTAAACAGGACACGCATGACATTCTTCAAAAATATCATTCATGTCTGTAGAGCTGGACATTTAAATACGGATCAAATGCGTGAGTTCAGCTTTGAGAATGAAAACCAACCTGTTAGTTCCTCAGGATCTTCATGTTTGACTCTGAAAGCTTCTTCAAGCCTCATGTCTTCACTCTCCTCTTTAATAAACGCCATCTTTATAATAGTGTTACGTGTGTCTCAGTCGCTCCAGCAGCAGTTTTTCTGTGTGCTTGGACACTTTGTGCTGTTTAAGATCTGAATAATTAACAGAAAGAACAACAAATCTCTGAGTGCGTCTCAATCTGCTCTATAGTTCAGTATTCACTTTAAATCACCTGATTAAAAAAATACACAAATTATAGATAAAGTTCATATTTTGGTATGTATGATCTACATTTAGAATTCAGTTATTTGTAAATCATATATAATTAGATTGCACTGTCATGAAAACATTTGCAGTTGGTTGCTCATGTTTGTGTTTGTTGTTGTTTACTTTGCACTGAAAGTTTCTCGTGCGCAGATGGGCTTTACTCACACAAATAACGTTAAATACACATTAAAGGTTACATTTAAGAATGATCGACTTATTTTACAAAGCTTGTAAAAACGATTACATTTGCACGGGTTTAAAAACTTGAAATGCGTAAAACCACAAACCTTTCTTCCGTTGAATCAAAACAGGCAGGAGCGCGGCGCCGCTTGATGACGTCACACCACAAACACAAAATAAAAGTCCCGTTCACACGCTGCTGTCTAAAATCACGAATCATGATGCATTTCCACAGTTATTAAACTTAGAAAAGAGATTTTTTTTATGTACATTTTAACGCTATGCTTTGTGTTTTCTTAACTTGCCATTAAATTAAATAAAACTAAACTGCTGCGTGACTGTTTCTAATATAAGGGAGCGATTCGACATCTTTCACTCTTTTGACAAGCATAATCAATCTTTCTCTCTCTTTCCCCTCTTTTGGAAAGTGATTGAAACTATGGTGGATTTTTAAAAATTAATTCATTCATTAATTTAAATGCTCAAAGCAAATGGTTGCTAGTTGATCCCTGAAGCCTGGGATCTGAACTAGAGAGCCTGAAAACTTGCTTTGATGAAAACGGACAATTAAACCAGAAAAAGGAAAAAAGGGATTATCTGGTCAGTTGTAACCGTTGCTAAAGTGAAAATGGAAAATGGTGATGGAGAACAAATAATGTCACCAAGAGTTGATTTTCCAAGGTGAGGCGAATGTGACAAGGACAATGGTAATATAAGATTACAATATGAGAATAGATGGCTATATGAGTATTACCCAGTGCCTATAGTAAGAATAAGACAGCCTAATATAACTGGAAGAGTGTTTTGGGTGATACCTAAAGGAATACCAGAATACCATAACAGTCAGAATATTGTGAAACCTGAATACAGTGGAGATTTAGATGATCAAACAGTAATGTATGCTCCTAGAAGTCTCTGGAGAGTATTACATTATGAAGAAGACAAAGATCCAAGAGTTAAATTAGTGATGAATGTTGGCTGGTCTAGTACAGGGGTTTTCAACCTGTGGGGGGGCGCGAGCATCTATTAATTCAGAAGAATACCCTCGAGTAGCCTATTTATGAATATGAGCTAGCAAATCTTTAGCCATCCACTAGGTGGCAATCTGATTAGTCCCACTGCTAGTCAACAGTTAGAGCAGAGTTGGCTCGAGTATCAGTCACGCTTATTGACAGTGTAAGATGATTTACGGTTAGCCGTGACGGGAATCCAGCCACGTATTGGCATGTTGCTATCAGAAACAGGCTCAGCCATCACATTGAATCAGGTAATATATTTATTATCAGGTTATATATTTGTTTCATTATAATTACGCACACTATACCAGGTGCAGTCCTAAACCCTTTTTAGGCTTCAGCCCCACTATGTGTCATCTTAGCCCCCCAAAACTGTCTGAATGATGGAGCCAGTGCTGCTTCCTCAAGAAAGTTTTTATCAATCTCACATCTTTTAAGTCTCGTCAGTTTAAACATTAAAGTAGTTTTAAGCCATTTATGTGCAAGACATCTCAATGCAGTACTCACGCGCTGTGATAGATCGTTTCTGTGCGCACCATGCACACAACTGAAGCGCACAAACAGATAGCCTTCTCAGATCCGTGCATTTCTTATGTTAATAATGTTAATCAAAAAGAACAAAAAAAAATCATTCACTGCCCTTAAGTAAGTAATGTCTGTAATTTTAATGGATATTTGTGTATATGTTAATGTTAAAGAAATTCGGTGTGAATACAGTAATAGGGGTGGGGGAGTGAAATCAGACAAACTTGGGGGGGGTGCGTGTCCGAAAAGGTTGAAAACCCCTGGTCTAGTATACACACTAAAATAGATTATAATATAAGAAGAAATTACCTTAATCAGTGAATTAATAGGTTGTTAGCAAAAAGAATTACAAACTACAACAAATTTACCCATATTTATGAGGAATATGTGGAATTGTAATAACCAAGAACAAGGAAAATGTATGCCACCTTACCCTTGGTTACTGGATGGTAGCAAGATTACAATATGCTGAAAAGAATGCAGGATATAGGCAGTGGACTACAGAAGATTGGAAAGATTATGGTGAAAGAATTACACAAGGATGGATATTGGTGGGAAAGGGATTAGAAAAAACAGTAACTACAGTGATAGATGTAGGACAAGAGATATTGAATACTGAACGAGGACATGAAAGGTTCAGTAGACTTTTTGCTTTAAATGAATGGTTATTGTCATGGTGTAAAGAACAGAAACTGCTCTTTGTTAATAATTGGAATCTTTTCTGGGAGCGTCCTAGGCTTTTTAGTGCTGATGGCCTGCACCCCAGCAGTCAGAGCAGAACTCCTGTCGGACAACATCTCCAGGACGCTGCACTCCATATGACTAGTAAGCCAAATCTCAAATAACTAACTGCCCTGATGGCTTTTTTTCTACCCGCTTAAATGATAGAAGTACTTGTGCTGTCCAATCTATTAAGACTGTGTCTGTTCCCCGAATAGTGAGGTCAAAATATACATTTAAAGCAGGATCTAGAAAAAATCTGATCATGATTAAACCAGAAAAATTTTAAATAAATGAACAAAAACTATTTTTAAAGTTTGGGCTCATAAACATTAGATCACTCACACCCAAAGCAGTTATTGTAAATGAAATGATCACAGATAATAGTTTTGATGTACTCTGCTTGACTGAAACCTGGCTAAAACCAAATGATAGATAACATCAGAAATACAATAACAAATTAAGATTCTACAACGTCAAATACTTCAGCTTCATTCATCGCACCAAAAGATAAACTATATAAAAACTATATACTATATAAAACTTTAAAACTATAGGACAGGAAGAGCTAAATAAACTTATCACTGCATCTAAACCAACAATATGCATGTTAGATCTTGTACCCACTAAATTACTACTGATTACGCACACGGCTGCAGCCAATCACACACCCTATATAAGCCATGGACTTCCTCTCTCTCACTGAGTATTGTTTGCGTTTGTCGCCACATCAGTGATAGCAACGTTACGGAGCCATTTCCGAGTTTTGTCTAGTTTCTAGCTCTAGTCTAGTTACGTCTAGTTTTGTGCCTGATTGCCTGTTTTCTGGTCTCCTGCCTGTCTTGGATTCTTCTTTTGCCTAGCTCTCTGGACATTGTTTGCTGATCTCAGACCCACACTAGCCTTTGGATTACCTGATAACGTCCGGGGTTCAGACACACTCGCTCTGTTTAAATCTAGATTAAAAACATCTCTTTGGCCAAGCATTCAAATAATGCATCTCATAATCTTGTACAGCAGTTATATACGACCACCTCAGACGACCACCGGGACAAGACCACAGGAACCAGATGAGTCCTCTGCACAAAGTTAGTGTTTCATGCCTGAACTATGTATTTATTGTGTAAGTGTAACATCCACGGGCTGTAATATAACGTGATGCCTTGTTACCCTCTAGTTACTTGTAGTTATTGTGTAAGTGTAGTTATGGGGAATGTGTAACATCCGCGGGCTGTAATTTAAAGTGTTCCTTTGTTGCCCTCTTGTTATGAGTAGTACAGTCATGACAACTCTCGGAGTGAAAGTTTCAACCAGCATTTATTGGCATGGGTATGAAATATACATAAGCTTGATTTTGGCAGACAAGATCTGCTATGCTGCTGCTGTAAAGCAAATACAATAATTAGTTCAGCTTAGTCAAAAATAATGAAGGATGGCTGCTTTAAGAAATGTAGAACCCCCTGAAGGCAGTGGACATACTAATCGTATAGCAAGCATTCGAAATACACTGACTAATGCCCCTCACCCAGCAGATCTGAACGCCAAAATATGTGTACTGCTGCTACTGTAGAGCTATAGGCGCGTGTATGACTACATGCAGAGTGGCTTAACGCTATTAAACTTACTTATAAGTGTGCATCTGACCTAGTGGCCTGAACTTAAATGAACTGAGACAGAGCTCAGATGCATAAATAACATGCCTATTCAATGTGACTGATTTTATCTAAAGGAATGTGTGCAAAGCTGTTTTATTTTTATTTTTTTAACTGCACGAGCGGAATTGGAAGGGAAATGACGCTGTCCAGCAGAGCTGGAAAGGGTAATAAAATATTCTACTCAAGTAAAAGTAGTTACTTCAATTAAATTTTACTTAAGTACAAGTAAAGTTACCGGTCTAAAAATCTACTCAAGTAAAAGTAAAAAGTAACTAATTTAAAATTTACTTTTTTTTAACAGCGGGGGTGGGGCATTCTAGTGTAGTTCAAAAAAGACAAGGGAATATAAATCTCAAACTGGTTGTTTTTAATTGCAGAAACACCTTTACAAATTAAAGTGCAATAACAAAAATGAATTAATGATGATAAAAAAATAATAATAAGAAGCATATAAAACATTTAGGGAAGTTGGAGTTATTTTAGTGCAGATCATCCCATTAAATATTTTAAACATTACAACCATTGAATATGGCATAAACTGTGGATTCAGTAGAGCACCCTGTTCTTAAACACTAACAATAATGCTGCAAAACTTTAAATCAAAATGGGTCAGGGACCTTCAAGTATTTAGGAAACCGTGCCATTTTCAGATAACAGACCTGTCAAATAAGAAACATCAAATCAACAACATGGTAGCTTTTTTTTTTTTTTTTTAATTGCCCTGCCCTTCCGTATATCTTTACAGTTTATTTGTGTGCCCATCCTTACTCTATTAACTTTCTGTTAAGTTTGAGCAGCAGTTGGTTTTCAAAGTTAGCATAGTTCATCCTTGCTCGCTTTGCTGTGAATAGCAGTCCGGCACTGCTGAAGAGACGCTCACAGCAGGAATAGGTGTGGAATGTGTAGCCAAGTATGCAAATGTATTTTGGCAATTTTACACAAGTGTGAAAAAATAAAGAAATTAGCAGAGTAACTTCAAGCACTGTTTTTCATTAGTGTCATACTTAAATTATATATTTTTAAAAATCCTCACATTTTTACTTTAAATTCTTCACAGACATTTCTGATAGTGTCCTCGCCCTTCTGTTGTATGATCCGTATGATTCTCTCCACAGCCATGTATGTAGAGTTCCACCGAGTCTGATTTGGCCGGATTAGCTGGAGCTTGCATTTATCTTCAACAAATTCTGCTGCCATGTATGACCGACCGGACTTGTTCTACATTGCTTGACATTTCCCAAAGG